TTCACTTACCTCCATAAAACACTCTGCTTGCTTTCAGACATCGGTTTTTGCTGTCACCGCTTTCACAGGCTCTTCCTTTCATTCTTTCCCCATACATTTGTTAGTTTACTGCCAGGAGGCAGTGATATATTGCCAACACCATTCACTTTCTTATTATATTCCCTAGGAGCAATAAAGCCAACATCACCCGATATTCACAGAGTATGAGCTTTTCATACGTGTCTCCCAAAAAACTGCTTCCTCATCTAGTTATACAAGACAGCAAAGTTGCCCAGTAAGAGCTCTGTGCAGAAACACCTGAGATGCCCACACAACAGATCTGATGTGAAGCACTTCACTCTCTCACCCTTCTGGCACACCAGCAGTGCCTGGAAGCTCAGACACATCACACAGGGGCTTCGTCTGTGCAGTGTGCCTGACAAGCACCATTGCACCATGTAGATTTCTATTCCCATAAGATTACTCTTTCCACAATTAATTAGGATACAAAAATAATTAAGAATAAACAAGCTGAATGAAACTGTTTTATTTATTCCCTTAAACTTGCTTTTCATCAGGCTAGATGAATGGGCACTAACAGAAAGAACCACAAATGAGATCAAGGTGAAATGCTGATGTCATGAACAGCAGCACATGATGTACCAGGTATGGAAGAACTTACAGCACGCCCTAAGTTACACATTCTCCCTTGCACTGCCTTGCTGTGCTGTCCTAAACACAGCTCCTCCAGGTGCCTCAGCAAACCCAAATGGGAGCTGCCCAAAGCTCAGGCCCTGTGCTGTGCTTCCAGAGGACCTCACTGTGCTGCTTATTTACTTCACAGTCGCACATCAGTGTGCAAAAAATGAAAAACAAGTTTGATCAATTCAACCCCGTTCCAACTGCTGAGATTTTCACAGATTTAGGGTAGGCATCAGGTCCTTCAGTATATAATGAATTGCTTTAGATGAGGAAGAAGAACATACCAATTCCACACTCCATAACAAAACCAGCTCTTATACAAAATGCCCTGGATCTTACTGGAGCACAGCACTACCACCTCTCAAGCAGAGAAATTACCTGACTGTTGTGTTCCCAGTTCCATCACAAGGGGAAGAGCTGCCGTTTTCAACTCTTTCTGCCCAGCCCATTTCCGTGCCAACATTCTGTTGCCCACAGGAACACTTTTTCCAATCCCTCAAGCAAATGAGATGCAATTTTGCTCATCAGATTTGCTACTTCTGACATCATGCCATAGCCATACCAAGGAACATTCAAGCTAATTAAATGCTGTTTCAGAACTTCAGTTATCAGAGAAAAACAGAATCAACAGAGGACTGTTAATAAATACATTTCTCAAATGCCTATTGCCTTTATCTAGAGAAAACACTGTCAGTTTGTTAGGTGAAACAGATCAGATAGCATGACTTCAAAGCTTTTATTTGTTTGGTTGGAAGAAAGTGTAATTTAAGGGCAGAGTCGCGTGAAAGCGGAGTGCCCAACAGATACAGCTAATAGGGAGAGAATCCCCCAGTACAGTAACATGCTGCAGCACTGGGCATGGCATGCGATCATGGTGAAAAAGAGATGGGCACAGATGGCTGCAGCCAAACAGAGTTCGGCCCTATCCCAGCAGCTCCTAACTCAGCACCAACAGCCACTGTGCTGCCTGAACGGGCTCGAAGCACCTCTGTCAGTGGGGACTGATGTTGTCAAACACCAGCTCAAGGATGTGAGCCCAAAAAGAGACACGATGAAAAGGTATCTGCCTGCATTAACAGACTAAATCAGTATGTTTCAGTGGTCCTCGAGAAGTTCTCAAAGCCAAAGAAGTTTAAGATGTGCATACAACGAACACTTAAAGACAGAACTTATTAAACATTGTCCCAGAGATACATGGGCTGTTAAATAAGCTCCCAGAATGCTGCGGCCAGCAGGAAAACCATCTGGCTCACGCTGGACGCGCTATTTAAGAAGCTCAACAGCAGCACGGACTCCAAGAAACCCCCATAGAGGCAGAGGAAAGATCCCACTTTGCAGATTTGCATTTTGCATCTGGGAAATTTGAGTCATCACATCCACATTGGTACAAATCCAGAAACTGCAGGAAGGAAGGAAGCTCTGAATTGGGGGAGGGGGGTGGAAGAGCGGGGGACTGTTTCCACATTCAACAAAGGGAGAGAGAAAGGTCAGCGCTGTCCTGCTGAGGGCTGTGCGTGGGGAGTTACATTCCCAACTTCAAAGCTACTTCAGGTCCTGTGCAGAAAAGGGGATGCAGGAGCAAAGCAGTGGTGAACTGAAACATGTCCACACTTTTGTACTCCAAACTCACCCACAGGGTTCTATGCAACAGCTGAGAAACACCTTTTATTTTTTTTTAATGGTCCTAGACAATGTTTTGTTCTCCTACCTATCTGGAACTTCGCTTCCAACTTTTTAATCAAGAACTGAAGTGTATTTTACTGTATTCTCATCTGCATTCTTACCTAATGCTCAGAATGAATTCAAGAGAGGTTTTTAAACATTATGTATGGTGCTACTCCATAAGAAGTGGACTGTAAGCAGGTGTGTGGGCAAGCCCCCAAGCAGAGCAACAAACAGATATCTGAGGAAACCCAGAAGTGCAGTCACATCTCTGGGCAATCCATGGACATTGCTCTGATGGTATCACCAAGCATCAAGACCAGAAGAACCATTTCCTCTGTGCTCCCAAGAAATCCCACAGGTTCTTGTGATAACCACTATGGGTAATGAAAACAATATTTAACAGTTAAAAAGCATTTTCTAGGAGTCCAGTGTATCTCAGAGGCATTACTTCCACATTCATTTTAACTCTATACAGAGACTTCCCCGACGTACCTTTGCACCAGCTCCCAGCCCTGCTTGCTGCTGCGCACACTGGGCACACAACACGTGTAGAGAGACCACGGTTACACACAGCTGATCACACCTCTGTTATTTACACCATATCCTGAAATTCATACCAGGGTCAATATAATCATCTTACAACAAAAACACCAAAAAAGGAGAGAAAAGGCCCATTAATCCTTTGGAAAAAACGTTGTAATGCTGACTGAAAGCAAATGTTGATGATCACTTCACATACTGCCTTCTCAGTTCATTACTTCAACAAATGAAATGAGCAGAAACTAACAAATATGATGAACAAGCATAAAAGTGCTGCTTCTTTTGCGATAAGTGCCAAGGCAAGGCAGCCAGCAGACGGTGCTCTGTGACGGCCTGCAAATCACCAGCACCAAACTACAGCCAAGCAGTGGTTTCCCAATGGCTTCTGCACTGCATGCAAGGTACTCGATCACATTTACTAATGAAGAGGGAACTCATATTAGCTCCCTAATGAAATACATTGCCTGGCTCCCTGGGCAGTACCACAGCCCTCAGGCTTTGGGAAGAAGCCTGTTACAAACTGCTGGCTCATCTTAGTGCAGTAGAGATGAGCAAATGCTGAAGCTGCCCACAGCCGTGCCTACCTTCCCAATGCCAGAGCTGCAAACCCACTTGTCAGCACAGCCGAGGCAGCGCTACAGCACCTCAAGGCACAAAGCGGGGCTGGCTGCAGCCATTCAGCCCACAGAGACTCCCACCGCAGGGAAGGCTGTGCATGGGCTGCAGAACCCACCCGAGGTCCCAACTGGAGCCCTATCTTATTAGAAAGACAAACACAGGAGAGTGTAACTCACCCTCATGTACACACCGTGCAGGCTTAAGCAAGAGGAGAACAGAGGCCACATGGGTGTCTTCTCCCAGGGCTGCCTGACTGCTGGCACATGCTGGCAGTGGCTCACCTCCTGCTACAGTGCACAGCAAGTGCAGGCAGCTCCCGAGAAGAAAGCACAGCTCTCTCTGTGGTTCACTGAGCCACCACAGCAAACATCTCTGATTCTGATGAATAAAAAGAGTGAGCAGCCTGGGTGTTGCAGGCTTTGGTTTTAAAGGGTCACACCTTTCAGAGTGCTCCGGGTCACAGCTGGGAGCCACTGCGTGCGGAAATACTGCAGCACAGCAGTCCCATTGCTCCCAGCACCACCTGCAAGGCACCCTCAACCACAGAGCGCCTGGGGGATGTGGCCAGCTCTCCTTGGGAAAGAAACAAAACCCTTTTCCTCTTAGAAAGAATGCATAAAATGAAGGATTGTCTTTGTTTGTTTTTAATCTGCTTTTTAAAGCTACCAGACTATGAGACAGCCCAAACTGCAGCCATAAGAAAAATAGTAAAAATCACATTTTTCTTAACTCAGTTTGTTTCAGGTTAGGGACGAGTGATTTCCCCTGTTAAGCACAGGCTACCATAGCACATCATTGCTCCCCCAAGCTCCATGAATGCCAAAGCATGCTGTCACCTCCAAGCACACACACCCCACACAGGAGCAGCGGTACCCTCTGAGCTTTCTTACCAGCTGCAGCTGAATCACAGCAGAGAAACATTACAGAAATGAGAACGAGTCCCAGAGCTGCCTGCAAAAGCAGCAGTCCTTTCCAGACTGGAGTAAGTCATAGAGATTATGGGAAGTTTACAGCCTGCTGGCTGCAGGGTCTCACGGTGCCAGTTACAGCGGTGCTGTTTGCATAACCCCTTTTGCCACAGAGTGTGGCTACAGGTCTGTCCCACACATTCAGCACCGTGGGAACACGTAGAAGAGAATCAGTTACACGCAGGTGGGATGAGAGGCAACCACAGGGCTCCCTTTGCAGAATTGGAGGTCTGTCTGCCCATCTGTCCAGCACAACATAATGGCATTCACAAAACCTCTATGACACCTGAGTCTGTCGTCTAGAAAATAAAGGCTTAGTTTGCAAAAAGGAGCAGCAAAGACACGGCGTGCTGAAGTTACGCGCAGCCAGAACCACACACGGCTAAAGTAGACCCACTGGCTGACGGCTCAGCGCAGCAGCAGAGCGCAGAACCAACCGCTCGTGGTGCGGCAGAGCAGACCGCACGCACTGACACCGCACGCAGCTGCTCGAGCCGGGGCTCCAACAGCGGCCCCGCGCCTCCTCACCTGTCCTCACTCTCCGGCCGCTCCCCGACAGCCGCGCGGGTCTCTCGGACGGCCTCTTACGCAACCGTACGTCCCAAGGACCGACGGCCAAACTTCTCCCCAAGGAAGCAAATGGTGTTTGCTCCCAAACATCTGAAAAATCCGCCCCCTGCCCGCGCCCGAGCCGTGGGGCGCCGGCCCGGAACGCGAGCCCGCACGGCGCAGTGCCCGCAGGTGGACCGGGGGCGGGGGTCCCGCAGCGGCGGCGCTCCCGGGGCACTTCCAGCCGCTGACGTGGGAGCCCGAAGGGGTTCGCTAAGAACCTTCGATGAACGTAGAGCCGCCGAAAAGGTAGGAAAGTGAAACACCTCGTTAACAACGCGCATTCGGCAGAACGCCTATATTAAATAAGGGTCGATCCAGCACAGAAACAGAATTAGGGATAATACTCACCGTGCCCTTTGGTATTCCTTCTCGCTGAGCGATCCCCTGCCCTCAGTCCGACCGCCAGCACGAACGCCCCCCTTCCCCAAGCCGAGGGCTGCGGTGCGCGTGTGCCTAGCGCTGCCCTGCGGGCACCCGGCAGTGTGCGGGGCGCGCACCGCCGCACCTCCCGCCCGCAGCGCCGCTCGGGACGGGACCGCCCAGCAACGCCCCGCTCCTCCCGCAGCGGTGGGCAGCGCCCCGGGCCCCGTGTATGCGGGCAGTGCGGGGAGCCGAGTGCAGCTTTTCCCAGCAGCTCTCATTTTCTTCTTATTAAATAGGGAAAAGCGAACAAACAGAATTAAGTTCTCTAGTGCAAAGAAACCGAAGCACTATTGATGTTTTATCTAGCTGCCCACCTGGCGTTACAATATCCATTGCACTTATGCGTGCAAACCCAGCTTCCCCATTGAACGGTGAGGCTCACAGCTAGTTTGCCAGTAGGTGCATCAGAGCTAGGTGTACACCAACTCCTGCACCCACACAGCCCTGGCACTGCCTTACACCATTAGGAGCTGCACTGCTGCTCACTGCATTTTAGACATCCAAATTCAACACAAAGGCACAGGTCAGGGCAGCTGTGCAGGGACTGCAGCGGGCTTTGGACCCTCAACTGGGAACAAGTTTCAAATTCCAGCAACCCTTTGTTTATCCAAGGAGATAAACCACACCGGCTGCTGGACATGCCAGGGGCTGTCTGCCGGGGGCTGGAGAACAGCAGGGCTCTGCTCAGAAGGACACCATCACCCTGGGACACCATCCCATGACCAATCAAGACACTGCACTGCCTTTCCCCCTCCCTGTTGCCCCACAGTGCCAGAAGTGGGCAGCTGGGAACTCCAGGAGATCCCAAACCCCTCTGCTACTTGGTGGGGCCACAGGCCAAGGAAGGGTCTAAGGGATGTCTCTGTGCAGGGCTATAGGGCTGCACTCAGCTCCCTGTCTCCCTGGGGCGCAGCTGTGTCCCCTTCTGTGCTCTGCTGTGCATTAATGGCATGGTGTAACTCACTGCACTGCCCTCAGTCCCCCTGAGGGCCAGGACTGTGCTCTCTCAGCCCACCCACTAAGGTGCCACAGAAGCACAGCCCTGCACAGAGATGCCTGGGTGAGGACACCATGTCTGGGAAAGGACTCCTTCGGGTCCTGCGCAAACACAAATAATATCTTTACACTCTTTCATAAGCTTTCCAAAGGGGAAAAAAAGTAAAAATCAGAAACAATAATGCTAGAACTTAGCAGTTGAGATACATGCTTCTGTAGCTTGGAGGATGGCTGTGTGCTGTGGTGCAGCTGATGAATGGCATTTGGACAATGCTCTCAGACACAGGGCTTGCATTTCCGATGGTCCCTTGTGGAGTCAGGGGTTAGACTCAATGACTATTGGGGGTCCCTTCCAACTCAGGATATTCCGTTTCTGTGGTCACTAACATTTGGAACAGCCACCTTTGGCACCACACGGTCAAGAGGACATAGCTTCCCTGACATCCCCAGTATTAAGACAACAACACTCCAGGATGGACATGGGCAAACCAAACCCCCACAGCCCCAGCCTGGCAGATTCCCAGCCAGGAGGTGAGGCTCTCACCACCAGTCACCAGCACAGACTGCTCTTCCCAGGCACAAGACTGAGCTGTGTTGCTTAGGTGTGCACAGGGCTCCAGCAGAAGGTCAGGAGACTGCGAGATCCTCAAAGAACATAGTTGTATAATTCATGTGTGGAATCCAGAGTAAGAAAAGAGGAGGACGTAGTTGTATTGCATAGCCCCCTCACTTTTCACACTGATGGTTCCTGCAACATAAGGCCATTTTACAGTAATAGAGCAAAAGAATCATTTGAAAAGAAGCCCAACTTCTAATGGCACCCAGGACAAGATGCACCTATATCCTACAACCTATTCTGACTAAACATGTCTCATCTGTGAGAATTTTTGCTAGACACAGTCTCTTTTTTTTTATGTACACTAAGTACAGCAGATGAGGAAAGCACACCATTTCCATGGCTGTACAAACATTCATTGGCATTACGTTTCTCCTTTCTCTGATGGACAACAGGTGTGCTTTGCTGTGTTCTTCTGCAGAGGTATCAGCAGCTCAGCACCCAAGCCCCCAACCTACAGCAACTTCTGGGCCAAAGCAGAAGGGGCTTTGCCCCTGCAAAGATCTCACACAAAGACTGATCTAGGCTGCACAGGTCCTTACCTAACCCCACAGCAGCACAGCAGCACCAGATGACAGGCGATGGTGAGCCATCTCCCACTCCACAATGTACAGAGACGGAACCCAGGCTGCACCCTGTGCACTCTCTCCCTCCCCCATGGCACGGTGCAGCCCCAGGGCATTCTCCACTCCGCTTCTGCTGTAAAATGCACAAGTGAACTGCTAGCCCTGATTTCCGCCTGTGTTTTACTGCCAGACTGTTGTGTTTGTTTACAGCCTGGGGAAGAGGTTTATTGTTTTAAATGTTAATATCCTCCTTTAAATAAAATATGCCCATTGATAATATCTAGAGCAAACACTTGCAGAGCTAACAAAGTGGGAAAACATTGTCATCCTATCCAGAGAGAAAGTTGCAAGCACCAAAGTGCTGTTTGACTTGGAGGTGCACCAGGGGGCTCCGAGGCTGCTTATGCAACACGCAACCTTCAGCTATTTATTTTATTCCGTGCGTGTGCAAGCGAGCTGTTGGGCTTCTTTCCCCCTGTTTGCTTTTTCTCTTTAACTTGAGCATGCGTGGACAGAGACTTAAGGCAGAGCCGCACTGTGTGTAGCAAGGGAGCCGGGCGGCGGTGCCACCTAGTGGGAGACGCGGCAAGACGGCTGGGCTCCGGCAGGGCTGCCGGGCCCTCGGGGGGAGGTGGAAGACATCACTTCAAGACCAGGAGCTGTCGGCACAAACCTGCGTTTGCACCTGCTTCTCCTGCAGTAGGGCTTCACAGACGTTGCACATCTTGCAGCAAAGACAAGGGACTTCAAAACATATGGGGCTTCGGTGGTTTCTTGCCTGATGACAGAAAAGGAGGAGAGGGAGAAAAATCCCTCTCCTCCAGAGGATCTGATCCTGGGTGTTTTCTGTCCTACCTGTGAAGAGAAAGAGCAGCTGCAGGGCACTGGGTTGGCAGCTCCGGTTCTCTCACACTGCTCTTCCTTCTTCAAGGAGGCAAAACTGTGCTGCACAGCCACAGGGACTTCAAGCTGCCAGGATCTAAGAAGACAGAGAAAAATTTATTCCTAGGCTTTAGCCTAGAGAGGACAAACCCCACGGAATTTAGGACAATGTTTTTGGCTTATCTTGCAAATATCACGCAATTTTTTTTTTGCACAGCATTCTGTAGCCAAGTGCAATACGCAGGGCGCTAGCTGCTAACAGTGCGCTCCATGCCTGCATCCTGAGAACAGCATGCAGTTGTTTATTTATTCAAATAACACCAGGGGTGAGATTGCTCAAAACAAAGCAAATCTACTTAAAAGGAATGAATATTCCTTTTAAATTCATTCAGCATTTAGTGATTCATGTAGCTATCTTCAAAAATGAACTTTTCAGTTCATTATGTCTGCCAGGTGGTAACAATGTAGGATTTATACAAAGATACTTTGATTGCAACCTCCCAGCTGGCAAGGCTGTTTTAATAGCTTGCAGGAGAGAGCAATGCTAGCACATCTGTCCTGCTGGCTCTGGATGACTTCCTCATCCTTTCACAGATCCTTACAACATGGAAAGAAGCTCTGATCCCTCACAGTCAAGTAAGCAGAACTCCTTCAGGACAGAGGAGGCACACTGCTGCTCTCAGTGTGACACAGTGCCACCTCTGGCAGTGGCAATCCTTTGCCCTCAGCCATCTCTGGAACATGGTGCTCCATAGCTGCCTTTTAGTGTTCAGGAACACCAGCATGGTGCTGGCTGCAGGCCGCTCAGTACCTGGGGTCTGCCACCCCTCACACAGCACAGCCATCGCTCCAGCCAGCAGAGCCCCATCCTGCCAGCAACATCACTGGATCTGATGCAAAATCCATGTGGAGGCCAGCACACCCTTGTGCTGCATCACTCGAGTACTGACACGAGCAATGAATGTTCAAGACCAGGCCATTGCTTTCTCGAGAGAGTGTATCTGCATCCAAACTTTGGCAACAAGATTCAGTTCTTATTTTGCTTCTTCTCGTTGAGGCTTCTTGGAGGGAGAGTCACAGAAGTTTGAAGAACATTTACTGTATTCAGGGTCACAGTCTTTCCATCTCTCTGCACCACATTAATGATAATCTACGATCAAGTTCCAGTCAGCACCAGAGAATCAGAAATTGGGTTCATTTTTTAGGTTTGAACATGGTTTGAATACTTACTGCCCAGGACATTCATGTCCTCTACCTCCCAGGCAGAGAGACACAAGAGACTGTGGTCTTTTTCACAGCCCATATTTCATTTTACCCTAGATTCAAAGACACCTTGTACTTTGAAAACAGATTCCAGTAGAACTCATTCGACTGGAAACAATCACAGATGTTTGTTTTGACACCAGTTCAACCCCATATGGCTCTCCCACTCCTAAATTTCTGTTGTGTCCTGCCAAAACTCACTTGAAAGCATCTTGTGACAGTCTAACAAGAACATCAGCACTGCTACCCCTGAAACACCAGGACAGCTTTGCTAAGCTTGGAATGCACCACAGGCACACCACTTGCCCAGGAAGTCAGGCCCTTGGGCTGTCCCCAAGCGTCCCATACTTGTCTTCTCTACCACAACTGTGCAATTAAGTACTGCGTTTTAGTCACCTCCCACTCCTCAGCCAGAATTTGCAACTTTTACACAATATTACACAGTAATTCAGTCAAAAAAAAATTCACTTTAAAAATATGTAAGTCTTCTCCTGTGGGACACAGTTTGAATTTGTCAGAACTGTTAAAATTCATGGTCTCTGTGTGTTTGAGAAAGAATGACGGGAGCTGCATGTGTTTGAACAGAACAAATGCTTGAGTCTGAAAGCAATGGAACATGGCACATGCCATCACAAGCAAAAGCAGGGAATCCCACTCATTCTGCTCCAACTTACGTTAACAGTTATCTAGACATGTATCAGAAATAACAAGCCAGGCCATGTTAACCTAGCTTCTAACAGATCTCATTTTGTACCATGACAAGTATTTCGAATACGTACCTGGAATCATTTGAGTTGGAAGGAACATTTAAAGGCCATCCAGTCCAACTCCCCTGCAATGAACAGACACCGACAGTTCAATCATGTTGCTCAGAGTCCCTTCCAGCCTGACCTTGGATGTCTCCAGGGATGGGGCATCCGCATCTCTGGTAACCTGTTTCAGTACCTCATCACCTTGATTGTAACTTCTTTACGTCCAATCTATTTCTCCCCCCTTTTTAGTTTGAAACCATTTTCCTTTGTCCCATCACAACAGACCGTGCTAAGAACCTATCCTCTTCCTTATTACAGACCCCTTCAGATACTCAAAAGGCTGCTCCCAGGTCCCCTCTGAGCCTTCTCTTCTACAGGCTGGACAGCCTCAGCTCTCTCAACCTGTCCTTGTAGGAGAAACTTAACCTGCAAACTCACTGATTTTCCCCAGGGAATCTGCTTCTTTACCCGTACCATTCTCAAAACAAAGATTCAAAGCTCTGAGCACTTCTAGGTTCTTGATACAGACCTACTGCGGTGGTGCAGTGGAGCTTCTCTTGCTCCAAACAGGAGGGATGAAGAAAGGCAAAGCTTAATAGATAAACAAGCAAATTACTGGACGGCAGATTCACAGGAGAGTGTTGCAGGGGAAGAAAAATATGCTGACTTCAGATTTCAAGACAACAAAGAAATACCTTTGCAGGCATTGCAGAACTCTTCTCCGTTAGGAAAGTTGAAATTTAACCTACAACATAGTTTTCTTCTTAAACCAGGCTCTTCCAATTTCTCCTACTTAGTGACTTATCTTAATCCAACATCCTAATCATTATATCTATTCTTTTTACCAACCAAATAGACCCATTTATACTGTCTGTACATTTTTCCAGTCTATCTGCTATGACAGCTGACATATTATGCATTTTAAGTCTCAATTCAGCATTTTGAAGTTGCTTCATTTTATGCTTCTCTTAAAACAGCTGTGATTAACTTACCTGACAGTCCCTGGAATTCTACAGCTAATGCATGCTTTTCTTATGCAACCACACAACTTGAATTTGTGCTTATTGCATAGTCTGTGTGTGTGTTGGCCTGAATGACGTGCTAGTGTTGTTGTTTCTTTTTCTGGATCAGAAAATTCACATCTTAAAAGAAGTGCTACTTCATACTTAAGTAACATTTCATTCTTTCACTGCTGAACTATAAATGCTAAGAATACAGGGATGTCTGAGTGACAGATACTTCCAAATCATATCCTCTTAAAAAAAGAAGAGGAAGAAAAAGAGCAAACCTTTTTTTTTAAAGTAGGAAAAAAAACCCAACACACAAGAAGTCCCACCCCATAACCATGAAGCTGCCATGAGCACCGTCCTTAAAGCCAAGTAAATCTCTATTATCTATGTTATGCTTCCCTCTACTGTTTCATCTAGGAAGTGCAGTCACCCCCTTTAGAGTGACTACAAAAAGATAATTTGCAAAAAAAATGATGCATGTTCATTTATTCCTTTATATATAAATCAAACTGAACCAGAAAGATATTCATGCATTTTGTAAACGCCGATTCGAAGAAACAGCCAATTTGACAAAACAAACTATTATTTTAGAGCTGGAGCATGACCTGCATCATCTTTGTTCTTTGGATGTTAGATGTCTGGAATTACCTTGTCCTGAATCAATGTCAGAAGATTCTATGATAAAGATCATATTTCAAAGATCCTGCACCTAAACTCCATATACACATTTCCTCTGAATATTCCTTTAAAAAAAAAAAATTCAAGTTACTGGTAAAACTTGTAAATCAGCTTAATAAAAGTTTCATTTTGTTCATGAAAAATGAAAGGCATGGAGTAAAACTACTCCCACCTATCTCATGTTGATTATTACATGAAAAATCACCTGCAACATGCTAACATTCTGATGTAGTTATTTACAACCTATGACAAAAAAAAAAACCCAAAACGTCAGGCAAAAAAGATTCAAAGGCAAAGAAAAGTGAAGCACCAAAGAATTATCGTGGAAACAATTTGTCATACGTCACAAAGCAGTTATGCATGTCTTGTTACTGATTCCAAGGAATGAATTCCACAGACACATTAAAATCGTCAAAACAGTGGTGGTCTTTATTTCCATCAGACATGTTAACAATTAGGTTAATATGAATTCATTTCACCATCTGTGAGATATGGAAATTAATGATTATTAAAAAAGTGAATAAACCCCCTTCCAAAAATATACTGGATAATACATGTGTCTGAATTTTACACTACCCTCCCGATGAGCCCTTTATGCTATGTGACATGACATACAGCTCTACCAGACAAAATAATTTGTGGACTTCTTCAGCCTCTGATTTGTGAGCCTTCAAGGTTCCCAGGAAAAGCAAGCTTGTCCACCCTATGCAGCTAAGTACATAGATTTCAGAAGGATCTCACCTCAACACAAATATCTGGAGATTTGCCAATCAAACCAAGGTAGAAAATAACATACTGGAACAAACACTTAAACCTTGGTGTCCTGCAGGGAAAGTAAGCCTTAGCTTAAAAACAGAAAATGCATTAGCAATAATCTTTCTAACTTTAGAAACTGGGCTTTGGATAATGCAGTTAACGCTTGGTTTTGATCACCAGCAATTTAGAAATCACAGACTACAGAAAAGTCTTCAAATAAATTGAAGTAATCTCCTCCCTTTCCCACCTATCACCAAGTACGTACCATATAAATAACTACTGTACTACAGAGCTCTTCAGACAAATCACTTTCAACATTAATGGGATTTCATTTTAGTGTCAAGTTAGCAGCCTGTTCCTGATTGTGAAAATCAGGACAACTGAAGAATTAACTTTTCACCACACACTCTCCCTCCTAAAGTTCTACTGTGTTCTTGCCAAGAAACTCACGAAGTCACAGGAAAGCCTGTATTTTTATTTTTATTTTTTGACATGATGAGGGAAAGGTGTTAAATAAAAGCGACTCATCTAAAGAGAAAAGGCAACAAATCAACAACTAGTTTTCACAGTAAAAATGCATCAGCTTCGTAGTTTCATTTGAAACCAAGAACAAATCATGAAACGTCATGAAAATAAGAAAAAAATCTCCTAGAGTGATTACTAAATGAAGTTAAAATTACCACACTATGATCAGTAAACCCCAGAAGAAAAGCAGATGCCTTGTATCACAGATCCTACATTAAACAGTATACAGTTAAAATAATTCCATAAACTCTGTATGTTTGGCAACGTTGCACATTTTCCCCCTAAAAAATACAGTGTACAGAAAAAAAAATCTCAGTATTCCCAGTATGAACTCCGAAGTGTAAGCTCAAAACCCAGAAGTTAAAGATCAGCTAAAAGGATTTTAAATTATTTACAAATCCAGCAGTTAGAACTATCATAATGGCTTCATTTCCATCCTTGTAGTGGCTTTCACTCTTATCCAGCAGCATCTGCAGTAGATATCTCTTGAGACATCTTCATCATTGATCATCTGTCATTTTAAGCAATTCTAAAAGCGCCCCAACAGCTCCAAAATAACCCTTTAAATAAGACCAGAAAAACAAAACTAATCAAACATCCAAATCAGACATATGCATGAACATGTAAAGCCCCCCATCTTAGTAAAGCAATTAAAAAGACCTTTCTTACAAGATTGAACCTTGATGTGCCAATCTTTTCTGTATCTGAACTACAGCATAACGTGATCTTCTTTAAGTCCAAGAGAGCATTATATCAAGAAAAGTCTTATACAGTTCTCTAAAACCATTAAAAAATAAATATAAATATATAAACATATAACTACAGAAAAGCTATAAAGATGCTGTACGAAGGCAGTGTAGTTTCCCTTATAAACACAGCCATCTGAAAATCCCCTTAAAAACATCTGCCAAAATTCATTCTAGTTGAGGTTTATATGGAACAGCCCACAGAAGAGCACATTTGGTACTAGGACCAGGAAGCAGATTAAGATGTGCAACATTTAGTGCAACACAAATACCACAAAATTAGTGGTCAACCCAGGAAGTTAATGAGGGGTATTTTCCAATGAACTCATAATGAAATTATGCAGAACTCAGCTTGCACTTTGAAGCAACATCGTGGAAATTCTCCCCTTCAACTCCCTCAAAAAGTCAAAAACAATAAGACCTTCTCCTTACCAACAGAAATTCAACATATATTTCCTTACCTCATGTTCCAAAAACAGAGCTTTCAGCTGTCCCTTGGACCAGTAATCCATAGCATATGCTAGCACCTTCATTGAAATCATATTAATTCTGAGAAAGTTTCCAACAAATACCACTTTGTCGATGTTCTGTAAAATTGAAAAGCAGATCAGCAAAAATTAGATTCAGCTACACTATTTGTCTCATTCAACACATACTTCTGCCTCTACTATAAAGTTACATGGGTATTTTGAGATATGTATGTTCTCCAGACAGAGAAGTCTCAAAATAATTCTAGTTATTGACCACTACATATTAATGTTGCAAGAAAAGAAGTTTTATTCCAAACAGTGAGAGACTGGTAAAACAGATGGGGAATTTTTGCTTAGAAGCCCATGACCTAAGCTTCCACAGGAGTATCGAGGGAACATTAGAAATATATCCTCCAGAGTCCTCTAGTGAAGACTAACAGCAAAATCCTGCCAAGATAGGAATTACTAAGGGCTATATTCATACAACTCTATAAAGCCTAGCACTTTGTACACTTTGCTCTGCAGCAATCATTTTGCTATGAAGTGCAGTTCTGTGGTGTCCAGCAAGTAACATACTACACAAACACCTTCACCTGAATGCCTACTACTGGAGAGCAGGGATACCCAGATGCAAACATTTATTTAATCTCCAATGACTTGGAGTCACAATTGTGATTACAGTTCTCAAATCAGACACAAGATTACACATTTATTTACATAACTCGGGGTTATAGTAATACATCCACTTAGACCCTGCAGTCCCATCAGCATGCACCTGTATGCTTTCCTAAGGATTTACATTGCTCATACTAGGAAATTCTCAAGCTTCACAAGGCTGCTATTAAACATGGCCAAAAATACTCTGCATCCTCAAACAAGAAAGATAGAAAGAAAGGATACACATGTAACTATTTTCCTGCAAGTCAACACCACCAGATTGATTGGAACTTGTCTGAATTTTATTCTCATCAAAATTTTTTCTAATGAATATACACAGTAAGCTACTGTTATCAGAAATTCAAGCAAGAAGAACTCAACACAAAGAATTATTAAAAACTTTAATAGTCATATTTGTCTACTAGAATAGCAGCGTGTATTAACATGCAAGTTTCCTATCAGCTCTATTTTCCAACATTAACAATCTTTAACTGCGTGAAATCAAGGAATTTCCTATATGCTAGAATTGAAAACAGCTTTAGCATTTTTTAGGACTTAGAAAAATGAGCTACTTTATCTCTTAAGAGAGTCTTGCCATCTTACTTTCAAATTGTTCACAGCTGAAGTATCTGAAGTTGAAAGAAAGAAGCCTTCAACTCATAAAGGCTAGTGATGAAATGCTTGCCTACGCTAACCAAATATAACATCCTGGTGAAAATATGCACTCTTCCATTCTGGGGTTTTGGCTCTACTATTCAACAGCCTTGCAGTAGAAAACTATAGCATACCTTTGAGTAAAGTACATATTACATACTGGCCAATTTAATTGAACACTGGAATTTATATCAATGATGCAATAAGAAAATCCATCCTGCACATATTTTTGCAAGAAGGCTTGTAAAGATGTCTACATGCTCTGCTTGTATGAGAAGCGTAAACCAAGAAGATTGGTTTCCTTTACGTTTATCTGTTGTGCCTGGAACAAACTGTTTCAAATGGTGTGCAGCCAAATAGTTTCAGACTATGGAATTTTTCTACTCTCCTGCCAACTTCGTGCAAGTAAACTTTCCTTTGAAGTTCTGCAGGCTGAATATTTTATTTATTCCCCAGCCTCATTTTTTCCTGCACACATGCAAGTCATTTTCAACACAACATTAAGGATGCAATCACTGAAAAAAAAAAATTATGAAAACCCATGCTTCAGGGCATAAATTGATTTTGTCAAAGTGAGCTTCAACAAAACCCTAATCTAATACATACAGCATTTCACAAAATAATATCAAATTCAACTGTTTTCTAAGCATACAGCTCCCACTTGGCTGTTTCATTCACCAGACTTCTGGCAAGTTAGAGCTGTATCTCACAAAAACAATTTAGGTGTCTGGAGTATTTGTTAGAACAATAGCTTTCTTTGAGGAAAAAGTAACGCTATCTAAACAGCTGCCTTGCAACAATATACTACATTTGAAGTATTTTCAAAGGATATATAAAGCCACTGAATTAAGTTTTCTTTTGTTAAAGTCACAGAATAAATTTATTTCTCAAACGTTAGGCAAATTTTACTTTGATGTTGTCTAGGATGTGAAGCATACTTAATTTATCACTTACTCTCCTCCATAAAACGCTATGGATCACATCTAGTTTTTATATGTCTGTCCACAAAACGTAAGTGCTAGCAACTTTTTCACCATGACACAGAAGCATTAGTTTCATTAGTAGCCTATTTCCTCCTCTGAATGCATCGCATGTGGTTCCCTGCTGCAATTCTCCATGCTTTGATAGCCCTGTACAATGCTGCTTGAACTCCATGCCACAAGGCAACACTGTAAAGAAGCTGAAAGCAAAGAGAAGACTTGAAAGAGAATCATCAGGATTGAAAAACTGCCAAAAAGTACGGAGCCACTTTTCACAGTGAAGCAAGGTCATCAGTAACAATTGATAATAGCACACACAGACGTTTGTCTGTTCAAAATATAAGTGGCTCTAGAAAGGATATCAGCAACAAACATTTATTGGCATACGAATTTAATCATCAGAATCAAACCAAGAAGTCAATGGTACAGAAATGCTGAAGAGATTTAGCAGCTTGAATCAAAAACGGTAGATGAAATTTGAGATTAAGGAAATGGAATGAGATGGAGAAGGGGGAAAGACTTTGGTACTCAGACAAGTTCTAGATCAGCCACTACCATTCAAGAGAGGCTGTGATTAAGTGAGAAATTATTAATTACCTGCTATTTCTCAAAACAACAATGAAAAAAGCACCCAATGAAGCAATCAGATGGTCTGGGAATTTGTTTGGGATTTTGGATTACCTCTTTTAAAAATAAAAAAAGCACTTTTTCTTTTTAATAGAGAACACTGCAGAGCTAAAAACAGTAGTGTGTGAAAAAAAATCAGACAAATTTCTGGAGATCAAACAGAAAGAGAACCGTTACCATATAATAATGAAGAATGGAACTTACAGATCAAAAGAAATTCCTACATATTTATAAGAAGCTGTAAAGATGTACTCAACAGCCCATCCTTAGTTACCATGTCTAAAGAAAAGAATGCAACAAGCAACTAACAGGGGTCTTAAGTTAAAATAAACTGTATTTTCTCTCGATCCAATATAGTAAATACCATAACTACGACAAAATTTAATACAAAATACAATTCTAATCCATCACACTATGGAAACAAGCCGAGTAAAACAATCTGTCATGGTATAACAAGGTCTGTTATTAATTAAGAGGTGATATAAAAGCATTAATTTAGATTACAAAGGCATGCATATTTATCACAGTTTGAGAACAATTGGGCAGCTCCAAGTACCAATAGATTAAGCAGAGCTTTAAAGCCAACTGTTCTGCCCTCTTCTCTACTTCTGAAAATCAAAGTACCTTATGTTTTGCCTCAAAGCATTCGTGACAAATCCAAAGAGCTAGGAGAGATCATTAAATATATACCTATTTTCCAAGGTACATATCTACCATAAAGCAATTTGAATTTTTGTACTCTGATAACATTACTCCATTATTGCTAAATAGCTTAAGTTCATAGTAAATACACCATCTTACCTCATTCAGTGCACACATGCGAGCAATAGAACCAATGTTGTTGGTGATAGTAACCAAAGTAGCTCTGGCCAAGTCCTCCTTACTGATAGATTCTCTCTTTTCTTTACTCATCATATGGCCAAAGCTGTGGGAGAAAAATCATTCCTTTTAACATGAGGCATTTAGGAGTGCTAAAAGCCCTTAGAAACATTATTTAATGTTTCGCTTGGCTTTGATATCCGTTATCCTTAGACATAATGAAACTTGAAAAGTGATCATACTGAAAATAGACAGAAATAAGATGCCTCTTCATTAAGTAACTGCAATTCAATGAAAACAAACTGCAGAGTACTGCTTGTATCTGTTTAAAAAAAAAAAAAAAAAGGTAAGAAGTAGGTGAGAGATCCAAGGACAAACTACATGATACATTCAGAGTGACAGTTCCACATGGACACAGTGCATAGTTCAGGGACTATGCACTCAGTTCAACATACACAGTAAGTTTCCTATAAACTCCTTGAAAACAGCTTATTTAAAGTGTACCTTGAGGCTACAGCAGACCCTTGAAGGCCAAACCGCTCATAATCTCCTCCGTAAATATCCTTCACCAGTTTATCCACATTGGTGCTGTCTCCTTTCGCAGCCATTTCTAGCGCTTCTTCAAACGTCTCACAGCCAGTCAGCAAGCAGCAGAGGCCCAGGAATGTTCCTCCTCCCAGGCTAGAAAAGCACATTTCTTTCAGATCAGCAGCTTGAACTAGCTTTCAACACAGTTCTTCAGATTCTTGCTTTCAAAATGCTCTACACAGCTACCAATGGTAATACTGCAGCTCTTGAAGAAATGAAGAAAGAACCCTTTACTGAGCTCCTGCTTGACAGACATTCATAGTTCTAACTGAACCACTCTTTCTAATATCTAAATAGAAATGCTTAGTTGACAGTATGGCTCAATCCAACTCTGCAGTTATTTGTCTGCTATTGGTGGCACTCTAGCAAGTTTTCTTTGAATAACAATTAGCAGCCAGCAGATCACCTGAGTCAAGATAAGAGAATAAATGGCAAACAAAGCTAAGCATCTCTGCTGAAGTTAGTAGCTAAGATGGATCTTGTCCCCCTGGTAGTGGAACAGTCTAGTTGGATCCTGTTCAAAGCAAAGCATCAGCCCAGAACGTCTGCCTTGGCCTCCAGAGAACTTAGAATAAGGAGAATCATATCATTTGAAAAACTTGCACAGGATGAAGTGCAATATTTACAGACTTGAGCAGGGAGTGTTCTAACAGATTATTAACTCATCATTAAAATCCTACTGTGGACTCTGCTGTCTTTACAGACATGAACTTCAACTTACTAACCTCTAGATACATCCTTACTCTTTCTTAACCTTTGATAAAGTTTACTTATTGGCACAGATCACAGTCATGCTGACTGGAGCCAGTGTAAACAAGAGGACCAGTAAGACACATTTGCACTTCACAAAAATCACAGAAGGTTAGACAGGAACACAGTTCAGTCAGTGCTGTTAGATCATTAGGAAGGTCTTTCAGAACACAGCCAGTAGTGCTCTAATACATTCAATATCTGAACAGTGGGAAGCTGACATCAGCCATGAGACAGTATTGATTTCACCATCTGTAACAAGTCAGCAACCCACTGCACTCATGTTTTCCCTTTTGTAATGGAAAGGACTAGAAGCTCATCCACTCATACTGAAAGGGCCATGGTTGAAAAACAACCAGAAATGCAAGAAAATCAAAGCCTCTTAAGTTTGTGTTATTTTGTATTATACAGAAAATGGCTCACGTCTACATTTATGTTAAAGATATTTTAAATAATGCAACAGAAGTCACATGTACAGTCATTTGCAGTGAATATACATATGAAAAACTTTATTAATACATACCATGCCCTGAAGAACAGAAAGCAGCTTTGGAAGGGGCTATAACAAATCCAGAGCTCCTCTGGTTGTTGCTTTTGAAGTGGACTTTTTGTTTAAAGTCCTCATATTACTAATATGAAGCATACCAATGAGGAAAAAAGTGCATGGATCCATGTGTGCTTTTAATACTAGTTGAAAACATGCACACCCAGACTAAAATGGTTCCTACATCTAAGCATTTACTGTGGTCACATCTGTGAGTCAACTTAATCATGTCTCAAGCTGTTTTGTGACCTCAAGAGCAAAATTCTGCACCTACGCCATTGAAGGTATCCCAAGCTCTTCAACAGAGAGACCACATCTTAATCTTCTACTGAACACAGGCCAGAGGCCCTTTCAACTCAGCTGCATCTCACAAATGATTCCAGAGAGCACTAGCTGACACCAGCAGAAGTCACACCAGTGCTCAAGAACACAGATAATCAAATTCTAGTCTTTATACACTGGCATTCGTGAACCTACCAGCATCATCCACAGTCTACTGCTATCAATAAGGAAGCAAGATCCACTAAGATCCCTCTGCCAAAATCCAGTGGTAGGAGGCAATTCTACAAAGTTTTGCTGTACTCTGGATACACATTCTAACTATTAAGCAAGAGGTTTTTGCTCAGCCCAAATGTTTTTACTTTACTGCTGTGGCTAATATGGAGGATCAAAGCGTAGGGAGAACATTTATATACCAGGACAGCTCTACTTCAGTAACTCACAGCAAGAGACAGGAAGTAGAGAAGAACACCAAGAAGAGATTAAGGCAGCTCTGAAGCTGAGGGGATAAATTATTTCACTGACCCAAACCCCGCTCTGACAAAAACCTGAGCTATTTCCAGTCTTATTGCTACTGAGATTTAGAAGGCATGGGAAGATGAACACAATTTGGAGCTGCATATACAGCCACTGTCTGCTTCTATCTGTTGAATTTACTGAGCAAATAAATATTTACCTGGATCCTGTAACTCTCTTGTAATTGTCCTTAGAATACACAGCTAGGATGCTGACTCCTGAGCCCATGTTAACCAGCAGCATAGGATATGGATTATCAAGGCAGTAAGGCTTCTTCTGGCACTGTTCAGGATCTGTAGGATTTTCAAAATAATAGCACTCTGGTTGGCCATTGAAACCAACAGAATCAACATAAAGCAGGCCCTGGATCAAACAGTCCAATTCATCCAGTTTGTGGAGTTGCAGATCAGCAATCTGGAGCAGAACAAGAAATTAATAAATATTTCTTAGTATAATCCTACACTGAGAAGGAGAGAAAGCTCTGATGAAGCATTTTGATCACTTTAATAAAAAAGCATCACGCTATTTAAGCAGTGCAAAGGTCTAAGCATGAAATCAAAAGGAAATGGTATCGGCCTGACGACAGGTTCCTCTCAAAACAACGTGCGATGCAGCACTGCCCTTCAATTCCTTTACCTGCAAAATATTCCGTGCTTCTCAAGCAGTCCAGGAAATATTTCCCTCTCATTTACTGTCTGTGGCAGTAAATGTCTTTCCCTTTATCCCCATCCCAAGAGAGATGCCCTCTGAAGCTTCAGGACAGCATCTGACACTGGTGGGCAAAAAAGCAATCCTCAGGACACAAAGTGCTTTAACTCATCATCCAACTACATTTTCCCAGCAATTTAATGCAGTGTTTGATAGAACGAGTGAGGTCAGGAAATTGCAGTTAGACAAGAAGATAATTCAAGCTTTACGAAGTACACATTCTTATAATAATATGAATTAGGTATGCAGTGGATTATGCACACAAAATGTTATTTTAAAGCATTTCACCAGTGATATGAAAGCTGTTTCTTTGAATTTCAATCAGTATTTTAAAACACCTCAAGAAAAAATACAGTTTTCCACCAAATGTTGGGAATGCTATCTAAAAAGTAAACAAAAACAACCTCAAGCACATGCCCCCCGCATAATGTTTATAGAAATTAAACGCTATCAGAGGGCAGAAAAAAATTCTAAGGGCTTAAAACAGAGATTCTTTCAGATCCCACAGGTCACCCAGGACTGTGCTTCAGCGGACAGTCCTACATGTCACAGCACTCTGTTTACCAGAATTAGAAATTAGACTCATTTCTAGAAATAGGATATGGTGACAATCTGTAGGAAGCTTCCTTTCTAGATGACACTGAGTTCAGAATAGAAAAATTGCTCATCCAAATCCTGAGGTCATCTGTATCTTCACATCTGCACAAAGCATCTCATCTGCTCTACTTCTACCAGAAAAAGCAACAGGGCACTGGCAGCAAGAAGGAGCTGTACAGCTTGGAGCTGCTTCTCAAATATTTGCATATTACTACATATTTTTTTTTTTTAAACAGCTAATGGTTTATGAGGCTACTTCCCTCCTATTTCTAATTCTGGAAGCTGTATTAAGTCACCATAAAGAGAAGTTATTTCTGTGGAACAGGCACAGCCAACAGGTTACATTCTTTTGAGCTATTTAAAATCTCTCCCCTTAGGTTTTCTCACTCATGCACAGCTCTAACTTGTCTGGACTGAAAGCTGTTATACTGTTGAGGTCTGTCCTTCTTTTGTGTGTGCCAGTACTCAAAACCATAGAAGAGAAATAATACAAGACAAAAACTAGCAAAAAAACCCCAAGCAGATTAAAAGACCTCAGTGCAAATCCAGTTATTCATAGGACAACAGACACAGATGGGGGTCATTTCTTGTGCATCAGCATTTCCTCTGCAACATTTCAAATATCTCTGTGGTTTTCTTTGTTACCATAGGCTACACAAATTTCAATTGCAGAAGTGCAGTATAAAAGACTTGAACTATTCACCAGGCAAACAAAAGGAATAAGCACAAATGGAGAGGTGGAAATTAAAGGAACATTACAAAAACCTTAGGACTATTTTTGCAAACACCTTGGATTTCAGCTAATTCTTGCAATTAAAGGAAAAACCTTCAACTAAGAGTCCTGTGGTAAAAGGGATTAACACAGTAAATGATTCACACACTTCTTCCACAATGTTACATACAGTCCATAAAGTCATGACTAGTTAGAGGCTGCATTTGTTTTATTAAAACCCACAAGCGTTGCAAACAGAATCTTGCTCCCAACAGCTACACTGGCTACAGTAGTTCTCTGGTTGAAGTGCTTCAAAAGCCCCACTTCCCTCATTTACTCTATTAAATGTATGAACTAGATGCAGCATGACAAAGCGTGATCTAACAGAGATGCATTACATACAAAGATGCTGTGAAACAGAAGCCCACAACACGAAGAGTCATTAACAGATTTATGGCCCTTTCTGCCTAAAGCTCTGTCTGCCCTGAGGGCCATACAACCACAGCCACAAGTGTTACACTTTCACCACTACAGAAGCATGAGTGCTTGCACAGTACCAGCAAGCAATACAAACCTAAAAGAAAAACACTTCTGGCATCAGAGCAGAAACAGACAAAATGCTTGTTTCTACCAACTCTCTGCTCTGCCCACAACAGAGCAAGAAGCTCCTTTCAAGCCTAAGTTTTATTAGGTCCAATCTTCCATATACAAAAGACATTAAAATTTACTTTGGTTTTCATGGTTCTGTGATACATATAATAGCTGATATACTTTAAGGAGAAAAGCCATATGCTGCTTTTTTTTTTTAATGTATGATTTGCTAGAAAACAAACCACCTTTCCTGCACAGTTACAACAATCTGTTTCTCATTTCTGGAAGGCTGGAGTCTGGCATCAGCATTCCACACATATGCCTGCCCTCAGAGACCCACAGACTCTTCGCCCATCCCATCTCCGAGGCTCTGGGCACAACAACAAACCACCAGTTCTTTCCTCCCACAGCACCAATCAGGACACAGTTTCAAGAAACACAGTAACCCAGCCTCATACAAGGAGCCTTGCTGGAGCCAGGGCCACAATCACTTCCCAAGTCCCTTTCACTGTGTATAAAACTGCTTTTTCTCCATTCATTCTTTGCTCACAATGACCGAAGTAGCTCAACTGCATCACAAAACAGATGTGCCTGTAAACATCATAACTAATGGATGAGCAGCCTTACGTTTTTTTTTTCCTGCTACATCACCTGACCTCACTCCACTCTCTTTATCCACACCTTTCAGCTATACAAACCATCTCCCTGAAGGGAGCTGAAGTTTATGTGCAGAAATGCAGAAGAAAATTAGGAGCTCTTTAATTAAGCCAATTTTCATTGGATATTTTTCCTACAACTTCTTACAAAAATGTATTTGTAGATATTTTCCAGGCCTTTACATCCGCTGGTATGAAGGCAGACAGCATACTGCTCTACTTCACCTGCTCAGCACTCCTGCAATCGTATTCAGCATGCATCTCCTCTAGAAGAGTTTTGTGTCAAAGTGCTGTGAGAGGAAAAACAGCAAAACAGAGCAGTATGCTGGGTCCTGAAGGGAAAAATTAACATAGGAAAACCATATATACATTTTATAACTGAACTATTTTTCTGCCTTATGGCTCGACCATAGAAATTTCTCTTTCAGACTGCTTTTAAATACTGGGGGAAAGAAGGAAACAGAACATAGTGGACCTCAAAGAATTCCTCAGGACCTCCAAAAGCAGGAGACTCAGGACTTTAACTATTTCAAGATCTGGATGAAACACAGTAAGGGAGTGGTGATTGCTTCCAACTGACAGTTTGAGCCTCAGCAACAAACTCCTAAAACAGCTTATTTCAAGGATGTGCAAAAGGTTCGTTGTTACCATGCACAGACCAATCCTAAGGAAAATGAAAGCCTGCCTCTAGTTTTAAACATCTGAGGAGCACTGGAAAACAACACTGCCTGCTCAAGGCTTTTTTATGATACGCTCAGAATCAAGCCAGCTTTAGCTGTATTCACATATCAGACAGTACGATTGCAACTCAAACCTAGTAAGATCAACACCGTGGTGATGACAGGAGGACAGCTGACAAAGCCTTCCTGACAAAAAAAAAGCCACCAGTGTCAACTTGCTGCTCCTTTCAAGTGCGGAATCACAGGAGTGGAAGACTTGGGTCATGTTTGTTTGTTTTCATGAGCATGTAAATATTTCGACCTCAGGCAAGGAGAACACCAAACATCCCAGCTCATCTTCAGATGAACTGAGGGCAGCCATGACCTACATGCAGACTGGAAAAGCTTCATAAATCAACATCAGTACGCACAATCAGTATGCATACATCCCCTCAGCTTGTGAAAGGCTTCATCTCGTTGAAAATTCAAATTCCAAGCTCTGGAATTTCAAAAATTACGTGCAGTTTTGAGTTCATCTGGTCTAGGAGTTCAAATGAGGAATAAGAAAACACTTCTGAAAGAAACTGTTAGAACTGCAAGAACTTGCAAGGTTTTAATTATCAGTTACAACACCCTTGCTCACTGCATCACCTTGGCTTTTTATATTTGTTCCAGGCTTTGCTCCCTTTTTTTTTTTTTATTATATATAATAGTTCAGTCTATCTTTGCTTTTCATCTCCCTCCTATTACCGCTTGTCCACTTTATAATATGTACTTTGCTTTATGTTTTGATTGCTCTGACCTCAAACAAAACCCCTGCTCCCAAACCTGCTCCATTTTGAACTCTGATGCAATACTCCTCCCAGCTTCTTCCACACCCCGAGGCTGGAAAACATCCACTCAGAATCAAGAAAGACAAAGACTAATGCAACTAAAAGGTCAGCATAACATCCACTGAGGCAGAAGAGAATGCAGGACACTATATCAGCTTTGGGCAGTAAAGCACCAGCTTTACTTTACATGCTCCACAGCAGACTCCTTGTCCAGGTGGCTGAAAAGATGCATTCCCTCTTTCAACAGAGAAAAGATGCACACTGTCACTCTCCACTGCCCTTTGAAGTTTCCTAGATTCCTGCAGTGGCAGTAATGGAAGGTATCATGGCTACTTCACATGTTCTCTAGATCCAGACTCTTAACTCCAGCCCAGTTTCCACACTACAGTCCAGCACCTATAACCCCCAGCAGAGGTTTCCAACCTCCTGAAACAAGTGAGATGCAGCATGATCCTTGCTAGTCTTATGCCAACCTAGAGTTACATAGCTCACATATCCTACAAAACAGGGCAATGAGTTTACTTATAAAGATGAATACTGGAGGGCAGGTTGCAAAGAAGACTGAGCAAGGCTCTTGTCAGTGGTGCCTGGCATCAGGACAGGAGGCAAAGGGCACAAACTAAAGCACAAGAGATTGCATCTGTACATCATTAAACACTTCTGTGCTGTGCGGGTTGCCTACAGATGTTGAGTAGTCTCCCTCCTTACAGATCTTCAAAAGCCACCAGGACATGGTCCTGTGTACTGTCTGCTCTGGGTGTCACTGAGCAAGGCATGGACCAGATGGGCCCTAAGGTCCTATCAACATCAACCACCCTGTGAAACACAGTCTACTAATCATCCATAGACACTGTTATGTCACAAATGCTAAGGAAGGAAAAGGTTCTTTTTCTCACAAGTTTTTTTTCTTATAGATTATAAGGAAGTTCAAAATCCAAATTTGTGCTGGTAACAGACTTCCTCTTCCACCTTCCAACTTGCTTTACTAAGTGATTGGCTTTTGGCTCAGGTCCTGCTTCCACTGAAGCCAGCAGTAAAATTTCAGTGGAGCCAAGTCAGGCTCCCCAGTTATCAGGCAACAGGGATTTTGCAACAGGGCAGGCTTAGAGAGAGATCTGAAGAGTCTTTTCTTCCTTCATCCCCCAGCCATCCTTGATCTGACTTCCTTTACAAATCTAAGTGATAGCCTAAGAGTTTATTTCTCACAATGGCATGTGGAAGTGTGAATGGCTGTGAAAGTAACGTGACTGCTATCACAGAAGACGCAAAGAGCATAAGAGCTTTATATTACAGGTACATGGGGGAGTAAGTCCATGTGCTTTCCAGACCTAAAGAGGCAATATGGCTTAAACATTTATCTCCCCTATGAAGAAAGGCTAAGTGAACTGGGTCTGTTTAGCCTTGAGAAAAGAAGACTGGGGGAGGGGACCTGATCCAGGTCCATAAACATCTAAGGTGTGGGGGGCAGAGTGGCAAGGCCAGACTCTTTTCAGGAGTGTGTAGAGACAGGACAAGGGGACACAGCCAGAAATTGGAGCATAGGAAGTTCTGCACAAATGTGCGCAAGAACTTCTTTATGGTGAGGGTGACGGAGCACTGGAACAGGCTGCCCAGGGAGGTGGTGGAGTCTCCTTCTCTGGAGATATTCAAGACCTGCCTGGACACCTACTTGTGTGACCTGGGGTAGGGAACCTGCTTTGGCAGGGGGGTTGGATTAGATGATCTCTGGAGGTCCTTTCCAACCCCTATTGATTCTGTGATTTATAGAAGATGGGAAGTGACAATAAACGGTTGGAGAATGGAGGGAGAATGATCAGAATAAGCTGACAGATTCATCTACGGCTTAATTGTACTGTTATCTAAACGTGACATTGAGCCATAAAGACCAGTTACAAAGGGAAGGAAAAAAAGAAACAAAGAACCCCCTCACATATACACAAGAAAAAAATAAGCTGGAAACAGTTTTTTCAGTGAATTACTTGTTGGTGCTCTTCAGTGAGCATTAAAGTATAACCACATTATTGGTAAAATTATTTCATTGGTCTACTTTAATGAATGCATTCACTTTTCCTACTTCTGAGGGAAGCATTCAGGTCTTAGGAGTGAATTAAGTGATCTGAAGGCTACTGATCATTATTGCTAGCAGTCATCACACAATCTTTGACGACTTTTCCAGGTCTGTTTCTTCCAACAGCATGCATCACAAGACAAGGAGGTCAGTCAGATGATCAAACCTACTTGGCTCTGTAGGTTTAGCTGCCTTCCTATGACAAAATGCACAGTCTTCAGGAAAACAAAATTTTAATTTTTACTTTTTAAATACACAAAAGCAATAGAGGTGTCTAGTAAAAGCTATTCAACTTACTCAGAGATCCAAAATAAGACACCGAAATAAAAAAGTATGAAAGTATTTGCTTGTTTATTTTAAGGAGAAAGAGAAACTGCAATTTTAGAAGCAAACTTTTGGGTTTGAGTACATTATTTTATAATACTTGGATTTTTTCCATCCTAAATCTACACAATCCTAAAAGCGTTGCAAACATTTAGAAATACTATGAAAGACAAACAACTTAAAAGCACGTGCATGGGGAAAAGGAGAACTAGAACAAAACTACATTATCTCTCCAGCCTTTTCATGAGTTTCTTTGCACTTCACCAGATTTCTTCATGAAATTAACTTCTAGAACCATGCTTCAGTTTTTCCACATTCTTCTAACAGAAACAGTAAGATTTAAAGCCTCCTCACTATAAGGTGCTATATAATATCGAGTTCTGCAGCAGCAGGATATTAGGCTTGGCACTTGTCCTCTACTTCTGTAGGTACATTAAAGTGACCAAATATTTGGATTAAGCATTTTAAGACTTTGAGTGCACTTCTACTGATGAAGTTGACACTGGACAACAGCTTCAGAACACACTGAGATGGCTAGCTATTTTAACAGCAGCTGATCTGGCATGACAATTTAAGTGCTCGTACCCAGGCCACTTCGCCCTCCCAAAGATACTTAACAAGCAAACCCTCATGTAATCGACAGTATTTTGCTTCTGTAATACTCCATATCACAGCTTGCGCCAAGAAATGTTTGTTTTGAAAGACAGTGTGGACTGAGTAACTGCAAGAAAAGGTGTCCAAAACACTCACCTCAGGTGTAAGTGCACTCCACCAATTGCACAATGCTGTAAAATATTCCAGACAGCCTTTATTATAGTGTTTTTCCTTAAACTATCTGCACATAAGCGCTGTAGCACACAACATACGATTTATGTCCATAAGTAATCAGATACGAGACCTCATTTTTGTACAACAGCTAGCCACAACTTCAACTAAAACTTCCAGCACTGCATCCAGCTGAACTTGGTGAGACTGGTGCCTCACTGAAAATTGCCTATTTTTAGCAGATAAGCTCAAAACTATGCAGAGAGATGTCTTGCTGCAACAGTAACCAAGTAACTTCCAGTTCAGTTCCACAGCTAAGGGAACAAGGTACGCACACTTTCTTATTAAGGAAGCTACTCCAGCTTGTATTGCATGACACCAAAAAGAAATTTGGTAATACTTAGCACTCAAAAGGAATAACCAGCCTCTCCAGAAAGCCATAAAATAACCTCTGATTGTTACTAGATAGTGTGATCTGAATCATCCCTGAGCACATGCAACTGGAATTAAGGCCACACTAACTAGTGCTAAGATTCACCTCAGCCCATGGTGCCTGACATTACCTACACAAGGCAAAAAAAACAATACCTGTCCCTTTTGAGAACTCAATCATCAGTAGAGCCTAACACATGACTTGCAACCAGCCTAAAGGACAAAAAACCTGGTACTAGCAGCAGACAGCTACAGCAAACTGGCTTCTTTCATGTCAAATACATCACTTACTGAAAATCACTGCACAACAGAGTTGGAGTTCTTGCTCATCTCCTGTAGAACTCTCTTCCCTTGAGGAACTGGAGGCTCTTAGTCACCTGATAGGTGTGGGGTATTAAAGAAAAAACCTGCTTGTATTGCAGAATGCTTGGAATTAAAAGTAAGCACAAAGTCAAAGTCTGTAATTCAAAAACAGATGTTAAATGGGCATGATAGCTTTCTATACAGAAGCAGTTGCAGATAAACAGCTGCTGTAACCTGTCACCCCCAGCAGCTACCCCTCACCATCAACATCAGGTTGGAAGCAAGCAACAGAAGTGTCAGAACTGTCTAAGTAAATAACTCACATTAATCTTTGCAAGAACACTCTGGTACAGGATAACTAGCATGATAGGCAACGGCCCCCCCATAACTTCCTCAATGAAGTCTCAAAGCTATTGTAATACACCCTCAGTTGATTACAAGGCATCTGATCACCACAGCAATACTCTTCTGTTTACTCAAGACACACAACACAGTAATAATTCAGGTAGGATACACATTAGCCTCCACATCCTCTCTTGCCTTCTCCATGTTCTCAGCAATTCCAGCAATTAGCAAATATGCATTGATACTGTTAATCATAAGAATTCTGATGAGTAAAATGTGTTTTCTCTGCAAGTTTTAGTTGAGAAAAAGAATCATGATTGGTTTTATTTTTTTTTTTTTCCTTTGCAGTCAGGTGCTTCCCATTGAACCCACACAAACTGTTCACTTACCGTTCTAAAGTCCTCCTCAAATTTGTAAGCTCCACCTCCTGTGGCACAGAGTGTAGTATGCAAACTGGAGAAGTTCTTTTCACTACCCATCTGTATGAACCTGTGCATGGCACAGCTGGGAAAGCGGATGAAGTGCAGGTTTCCTTTGCGTCCACACATGGTCAAATTTTTCAGTTCTAGGTGGACATCACGAATGCCAGTTTTACCATAGGCTGTATTGGAGGTCAGGTATTTCCTAATGCTTTTCAGGTTTTCCACCTCCTCTTGTTCCTCTTCTGCAGTAATGTCCTTAGGTTCAAAGTAGACCAGTTTAACCAACGTTCCACCAATATCCATTCCAAACCATGGAAACGCTAAGGATGGGGAGTGTGAGGAAGAAGAAAGAGAAAGCCACCATAAATACACAGGTTAGCCACAGCACTTAAAATATTTGTTGAATGACAATTCAGTGACAGTTACAGTATCAGCATCTGTACCTGAAAGCCTGTGGTGACTTACGTGTCCAATTCACATGTACTACATCCTAAGATAAGACTCTGTTAAGCCTCAGTTAACAAAAAGAATAAAGACAGTCCCAAAAAATCCTTCTCTGAAAAAGCAGGTTTGTAGCAATACAAAATACTTTTCCCAAGAAAACACTTCAGTCAGCACCTTTTGATAGTGCATGTCCACAGTTTCATCCAGCCTGACTCTCAGCTCCAATTCTTAAAGTAAACTAGGGGGGACACAAACAAAGAGGAGAGCAACATTCCTTGAGTCACATTCCTACTGCTTCACGCCTACAATTCCCCCTCTGATACCACAGAATCACTGAATACCGATCGGAATTCCCACAGCTGCAGTGCTCTGAAGAGCAGCACTCTGTAACTCTCCTGTTCTGGTGGGAGTCTTTCCAACCCACCAGAACTAGTATCTCTGTTACAAACTTTCTGCCAGTATGCGCAAGAGTTAAAACCCATCGACAGTCATCTTCTCTGCTGGTGTGTGCATTAGATTATCAGACAGTTACACAAGAAATGCCATTATTTGCTTCTCAGCACGCACATGCCACAACCTGAATCAGGTTGGTTTGCCTGCTCTGCTTATAAATACACAAGTTACCTGGCTTACTATTTAAAACTTCATTAAGCAACGAGAAGTGAGACTCTTGCACAGGTACTGCAGAAAGAAACAGCTAGCAGCAGTTAGGCAAATTTAAATCAAGTACTCAAGAACAGCAGGCATGCAGTCACCTCCCTGCTTGCACCAAGAAGCAGGCTGACATGATAGAAATGCAATCTTCCAAAGCAGGGCATCCCAAATTAGTGCTGAGGTGAACTGCAAACCATGGACACCACAAGCATTACTGTTTTTTTTTCTGCTGGTGAACCCAGCTATAAACAACTTGGGAAAGGATTTGAGCAAGCATATCAGATACTGATCACACTTCTTTCTCAGGTGATCACAGAGCAGCATTAAGTTACTAAATATCAGGCTGAAAGAAGCTTAGAGTCTTATTTTCCACCACAAAGAGCTCAGCCAATGCCTCATTCTTGGCTAGCTGGCTGAGCAGCTCATACATCTCAGGATATTCTATGTTTCTAAATTTCACAATTGTTATTACAAACAGAAGAAAAAAAAGTGAAAAACCTTTCAGTGCCAGATGCTTAAAACAGCTGCTTTGTTCTACTGTTACTGTACACCAAATGATGGAATCATCAATTTCTCCCTGCTTTCCATAAGTACAGGGAGAACATACAGAAAGAAGCTCCCATGAAGTCACTTGCTTGCTGTTCACTATCCTTAAGAGCACCAAATGCTATCTATTGTAAAGCCTGTTTAATTTCATTTTCCACTCCCAGCAAGCTGCAAGATGCGAAGACACTGATAAGAAGCCCAGCTTGAAGTTTGGTACGTGGGGTCCCTGAACCATAAACAAGTGTTTTAAAAACAGACTTCATTTTGATGACGCAAAAGACTTCACCATGCAGTAACCTGTAACTCAATCACTTTTAGAATTATAAGACAAATATTTAAGTAAAAATAATCTAGTCACACCGTACTGCATTATAACACAGTGGAGCTCAGGACATCAATCCCATTAGAGATTTGCACAAATCTTTGCTTAAGCTGCTGAGAACTTTAATTACTTGTCACACTGGAACAGTAAGTCTCTTCCACATAGTATGCATCTTAACTATACAAGTAAAAAGTTTAGTGTTCAAGTGCAGCATGACTGGACTATGCCATGCAGACCTAAACTAACGCTAACTAGAAGCAACATCTACATCAACAGCTGCAGATGGATTGTAGCAGAATTTATGTCCACATATTTAAGATTCAACCTTTGAGAGGGAAGAAGCATTCCTTGCTCTTACCAAATACAAATCTGGCAATAAAGGCGTGAGCACTGTAAGTTAGAGTTACCCATAAATGACTGCTAAGACATTTACATCTTTGCTTCCTGAGAAGCCATAGTTAAATCATTAAGAAGTAAGAACTACCATTAAAAAAAAAAAAAAAAAAAAAAAAAAAAAAAAAACACACAACTACTCTCAAGTTATTTCAAGCCAGTACAGTTCTTGGCAGAGGTACATGATGCTCATCTAGAAAAGAAATGGAAATACAAAGACTTTTTTTTCCAGTTTATTCTCTGTGGATCTAAAGTCCTTTCATTTTGATGTGAGCTAAATGGTGAGCTGCAGAGAAAAAGGACATCGCTCCTAAAACAGCAGCAGTTTTCTTCAGCACAAGTAAACAAAGAGCACAAGATCAGACAACAACTGTTACTTCAGTCACATGGGGTAACAGCTTAGAATCCTTCACACAGCTGTTAACACTGCAACCTGGCTCCAATTCCCCTGCAATAAAGGAGACATTTTGACTCGTTAACCAATTAGGAAATAAACCAAGTGTCCAAGTTGCTAATAAGCTCTGGTGACATTCACATAATTTCCACATAACTGGAATCACAGTAGAAACACTCATGTATCCCAGTGATTATTTTAACTCTTAGTTCATTGTAGCTTTTGTAACCAATATACCTCTAAACAAAACACACCACTCAAGCACCATTAGGTCTCCTCAGCACCTTCAGACAACTCTCTGTGTACCTGCACACTCACTGCAGCTAATCTTCACCTTCTCAAAGACAGTCTGCAACATGCACAATGGCCCAATGTAACCTATGACTGTGGAGAAAACAAAACTGCCTTACTGTAATTTTGTACTGCAGCAAGCCATAAAAAGTGGTAACACTAAAATGTAGACCTATATCTCATAGAACTGACACAGAAAGCATCAAGATGAACCATGTGCTCTTAAAGCCTACCATAAATCAAAGGCTTTGCTTATCTTCTTGTGAAAATGCGTTCTCTTTATGTTAATAAACAGCACCAACTACTTATTGGTTTGTTACTGACAGATAAAATTCTTATTAGTCTAAAACCTAGCTGCAGCAGCACGTGACAATGCAAACTGAAGGTATCGCCAGCATTGCATAATGAGGTAATCTGATGCACACTAACAGCTGTGCTATCTAGGGGAAAGGTCCACCCATGAGAAATTCCACGACACACTTCACCTAGTTTTTTTAGCAAACTTTGAACAGCGTGAACCCATAAAGCTTTTCTTATAAGGCATATTCCATCCAGAACTGAAGAGGTTTCATTTTTCAAAACCCTACAGTCGACATACTGTTTAAGGCAGAGAAGAGGGGAAGGAGCATCAAATCCTAACCTGCTCCTCATTCACAATTCCTCAGGGGAAGAGAACTCCTGTGTCACTCAGCAACAGTGCCCTGTTAAACGGCTTAACAAAGGGCAACCTCCTTCACGCATTTAAACAACCACAACACAAAGTTGGCTCAATCTTTTTACTCTTCAAATCTTACAATGAGATTATGCCCGATTCCTTCTTCCTATCAATATATTTGTGACCGATTTCCAGCAATTCCTCTTCTGCTAAAGCTGTCTCAGCTCATACATTTCCCCTTGCAAGACTGGCGTAACACCTCTGCAGCCCTCACTGGGCACACCTGGCCAGCTTCACTCAGCCTTTCACTAATTAGGAATTTCTTTCCCTTTTCCCACACTTGTTTTATTTATTTTTTTTTTAAATCTCTCTCAAGCAAAGGTACAGTATCTCAATATTTTATCAGTATCTTAAATGGCGCTATCAGCATTCTTTGCTATCTCCACCATGAATATCTCAGATAAAAGACCTTAGGTTCAGCTGTCTTTTTTCCTCCCTCCCTGACTCGTGATGAAATCCTATGATTTCATTTCCATCTCATTTCCATAGCTTGATACACTGGCAAGCTAAGAACTTTCCTGCTTTAAATGGGGCTGGAAGAGTGGAGAGAAAGCCAAAGCTAAAAATAGAGGGGGGGAACAAAAAACAAAACAAGAGTCATGGGTCAGATGGGCTAACATTCTCACTGCTGCTTTCCACTTAAGACATTGCTAATGATTTACACATGTTTCAGTTATTCCTTCCCATTATACAATTATTTTGAGTGATTCAAACCTGGCTTAAATGGAAGTTTTTGTTTTCCTTTGAATGTAAATAGAATATACATCTTTAAAGATTAATTTCAGCTGCTTAGCACAGGAAGTTTTTCCAAACATTGCAGATCTACAGCTAAATAAATTCCCCAAATGTTAAATGACACCTTCCAGACCATTTTCAGCAGTGAAGTCTTGCAGAACACCTGCCTGCTCAGCAGCAAGGGAAAGAAAAACCTTCGTAACAGAAGGCAGAACTGTTTGCCAGGCAGGTGTGACCATCCATACATATGTACTCTCATTACCACAAACTGATTTCTGAAGATAGCAGTGAGAGACTGGGTCACTACCTGATCAGCACAGTTTCATGGAAAACCAGCTTACCAAATACCAACCTCACAAAGCTATAAGAAACAACTTATCTGCTGAAGAGAAATTCCTCACCAGCAACCAGCTTGACAGCGCCCAGCCCAATGGCACTGACAAGATCTGTATACATTTCCCATTCCTGCTGGCAAAGCACAACCTTGGCAGTACAGCTGGAATGCAGTTGGATCTCACAGTAACGCAGGCCACACCAACCAGCTCAAGTGTTTCCCATCAGCCCCATTCTTCAGGCAACCCTAGCATCCATCTACATGAAAACCAGCTGGGGACCAACATTAAGCAGCACTGCACCAGAAGTCATTCTTAAGATTAAAATCCTGTGGGATATTGCTCTACTCCAGACCAATTTTCAGTTGCCAACACCACATTCACTGTGCTGACCAAAACCATCTCATTTCTGTACTCTCCATTAAAATCTAGACCGTAATTGTGGCACTCCACGTTTAACATCACCACTAGGTCTTATGCAACAAAAAAATCTG